AAGGCTCTGGATGTTATAGGGCTGTCTTGGTTGACATGCCTGTACAATGTTGCGTGGAGATCAGGGGCGTTACCTCTGGATTGGCAGACCGGGGCGGTGGTTCCTATCTTTAAGAACGGGGACCAGAGGGTGAGAAAGTCTATGCCAGGTTGCTGGAAAGGAGAGTCTGTTCATTAGTCGAACCTCAGATACAGGACGAACAATGCAGTTTTCGTCCTGGTCGTGGTTCGCTGAACCAGCTCTCTATCCTCTCGAGGATACTTGAGGGTGCATGGAAGTTTGCCCAACCAGTCTACATGTGCTTTGTGGACTTTGACAAGGCAGACCCGTTTCCGGTGGGTGGTCGGCTGCATCAGGGTTGCCCTTTGTCACCGATTCTGTTTGTAATTTTTATGGACAGAATTTCTAGGCATAGCCAAGTGGAGGAAGGCTTTCACTTGGGTGTTCTCTGAATCTTATCTCTGCTTTTCACAGATGATGTGGTTCTGTTGACTTCATCAGGTGATGGCCTCCAGCTTGCAATGGAACGGTTTGCTGCCGAGTTTGAAGAGGTGGGAATGAGAATCAGCACCTCCAAATCTAAAGCCCGAAAAGAGTGGAGTGCCCACTCCGGGCCTGGGACGGGTTTCTGCCCCAAGTGGAGGAGTTTAAGTATCTTGGGATCTTGTTCACGAGTGACAGGAGAAGGGAGCGGGAGATCGACAGACAGATTGGTGCTGCGGCTTCAGTGTTGCGGAAGCTTTACCAGTCCATCAAGGTGAAGTGAGAGCTGAGCATAAAAGCGAAGTTCTCAATTTACTGGTCAATATACGTCCCTACCCTCAACTATGGTCATGAGCTGTGGGCAGTGACCGAAAGAATGACATACAAGCGGCGGAAATGAGGTTTCTCTGAAGGGTTAGGGTTAGGGCCACTGCCTTAGAGACGGGGTGAGGAGTTTGGCCATCCAGGAGGGGCTCAGAGTAGAGCCGCTGTTCCTCCACATCGAAAGGTGGTTTGGGCATCTGACAAGGATGCCTCCTGGGTGAGGTGTTTATGGTGTCGCACCGGGAGGAGGCCCCGGGGCAGACCCAGGACATGCTGAGGGGATTATATCTCTCAGCTGGCCCGGGAACGCCTTGGTGTTTCCCCGGACCACCTGGAGATGGTGGGTGGGGAGGGGGAGGTCTGGGCTCCCCTCTGGGCTCTCTGCTTAGGCTGCTCCCCCCGCCACCCGGCCACGGATAAGCAGAAGATGGATGGATGGATGGATGCTTTCTGACTTTCAGAATCTATAATTATTAAAATTTTTAATTGTATGTTGATGTTGTCTTTAGTTTTTAACAAATAACATGTGTTTTAATATACATAAAACATGCACCGACATAGTCACCACCATTAAATCTTAGCTCCTTAAATCACTTTTGTTTATGTTTGATTAGTTAAGAGCATAAACATGTAGCAAAAAGGAGTGTGAAGAAATTAGAAATAAAACAATGCTGGAAAGAAAACAAGTGAGATGGGAAAATAAAATCAAAGAATAAGAAGTACTATCCAGAATGTTTATGCATGATGATACAATGGTTGCTGCAGAACCTCCACAAGTTAAGCAGCTGACATGTTTCAGGTTTTTAGGACTGGCTTAGTGAATGTGGAAAGTTAAATATATATGTTAAATATAACAAGTTTCCCCTCACCTCTTTTCCTCTTGAGTTTTCTCCGCCGCTGCTTGTTGACAAAGCAGGCAGCCATGGTACTGAAAAGGACAGCTGCTGCCAAGAAGCAGATGGTGGCCACAATACCAGCCACCACAGGCCGTGCCAGTCCACGCTCCTCCACCAACTCTGGAGGAGGAAAGAAATCTGAGGGGGAAGAGAGAGGGAGATAAAAGCATAATGAAGTCGAACAGCAAATTCATGACAGAAACAGAGCCCTATACTCCAGGTATGCAGACCGTGAGGAAACATCACAGCAGAGAAACGTGCCAATTTTTGTTTGCACACTGAACTTTTGACATGGACATCCTTTATTATTAATGCTATAGTCAGCATTCAATTTGTGGCTCCAAAACATCACTGATATTTACTATGAGATATACCACACAGATGTGAGTTTACTGGTAAAGAGCACACTGTCCCTGCTCTCTGATTAAAACTAAACCAGGACTTTCTGCTGTTTTCTGGCAGCTTGCATCTATAATTTTGCAGATGAGAGTTCACTCGTTTCTGTGTTCCTGTAGAAGAGACTCCAAAAACATTCTGTCCTGTCCAATCAAATTCAAATATATTCAAGCTGACCTTTACTGCTGCATATGTCTTCTGCAGGGTGCATGTCACAATGACTAAGCAGAATGCTAACTTTTCCTCCTATTCAGAACTACATAGAGGGTAATGTAATTCATGCACTGTTTTGATTGATTGCTACCTTTTTAATGTGGTTAGACTGGCTTAGACGAAAAAGAAAATCTTGTATCTGATGAAATTCAGTTAGCTTACCAAGGTTTTCCTTTGTGTACTTTATAAAAGGACCAAAGTTGAATTGCTTAGTGTCTGCTGAACAAGGTACAGGGTCGAAAAAAATGTATAAATACATTTTGTTAGTATGAAACGTGTGATTGACTTTTACACAGTAATCAGTAATGTCCAATTGGTTTACATTAGTGCTTCTTACATTTCCGAAGTTGCCTAAATCATTTCTGAGTGGGAAGTAGATGAGAAACTCCATCACATATGTTGTTATCCCTCGTGTGTGTTTTTGTAACCAAAAACTGTAATTCTATAAATGTTTCATGTGTTCAGAGGAAGAGTTTGAAAAAACACGAAATGTTAATAAAAACTTCAGGCAGGAAGTAAAAGTTTGACAGTGAGTTCATGAAATGAGGACAAGAAGACTAGTTTATATGTATTACTAATATTGAAGAATGTTACTTGCCAGAATTAAGTTGAAGAGGAAAGAAGGAAGAAATGGTTACAAATATTTAAACTCTACAGTATCAGAAACATTCTCAGGTAAAGAAGCTGGTTGCTGCTGTCTCTCACACTGTGCCTTACACAGACATTCATTTTACTGGCCAGCAGGGGGCAACTCCTCTGGCTGCAAAAATAAGCTCGCTAGTTTCCTTTTGGTCATTTCATAAATTCTGAACTATTAGAGTAAAGAAGAGGGCAAAGCAGGGTTTCTTCTAACAGTGTTTCTTAGTTAGATCCACTTGTTGGTGACATTCAGTTGCACAAGATGGGTAACCAATGGGTCACACCAAAGTAGTTATATCCACCTTTCATATATGGAGGCTCCACCTAGCAGACCAACAAGACCTGTAAGAGTCTGTTGAAGTGCCAGACACCAAAATGAGTCAATCCATTAGACCTCTATGTTAACGTTTTACATTTTGCTGCATTATAAAGCGTACAGAGCTGCGTTCCGCCTTCACAGTTACTGTACAGCAGATTAACTTTCTTTATAATTCATCTCTGGATACTGGTAAGGCTTAAGTTTGAGGATGTGGCGCTTTGATTGACACGTGTGCCGACAGGCAGCTGTAGCTGATAGCTGGCCTAGACCTCAACACTCTACAATGCTTGTGTTGCTGGTGCTTGTCGGAAGATTTTAATTGAATTACCTGACAAATCATATGTCCTGCTGTATAATAGAGTCTATCTAAGAAGCTTGTGCTTTTGTTTGTGTGAGCAAAAACTCTGTTATAATAATACTAATGAATATTTAACTGTAATTAAAATGATGGCATTACTATAATTAAAAGCCAGCCAATGCAACAAAGAGGACAATGTTTCTGCTGTGCAGCTATGATCTCTGGTTGTGGATTTACAAACTTCTACAACTGTCCTCAGTTATTATTGAAGGAGCTGGTTCAGTTATCTCTCAGTGAAACCAGGAGGTACAATGGGTCAGCTTCTGTTATGAACTTGTGAGAGTAGTTTATGTGCTACAGTGAAGTGTGATTAGCAACATACAACGTATTGTTAATGCAGGAACACCCGATCAGTGAATCACTGCTCAACTATCCAAATCACCTTGGTCATGTTTGAAAGGACAGAGTGTATCCACATCACGTTGGACAAAATTTAAGGAAAACAGAGAATCAACAGAGAAATGAGCAGAAGCATTTGATCATCGTACAGCGTGGTTCCCAGTTTTACCAGAGGGGGGAAGCAGAGTACTTCCACAAACAAGTGAAAATCTGGTCTATAAATGTTACCGGCAGCTGTTCCTACTAAACGGAGTGTACTCAGTGACCTCTGTAGAGGAGTGCCATCATATATGAATAGTTTAATTTCAGACCCCAAACACAGTCTTTTTTTTCTTTTTTTTTTTACAGCCAAACAAAGCTGGCTTTTTTTTAAAATCAGGAAGCCATCCAGTACAATCAGTGGAGAAGCAGACAGGAAGATGATGTCATCCCCCTCAGGATGCTACAAAGGAGTGTCCATGTTAAAGCGAGCTTAAAATGAATAGTGCTGAGTGGGTAAAATGTAAAGTTGGTGTTGCTGAGTGTGCAATACATCTACCACCCCTCTTCAGCTCAGAGATATTAGGCTAGCCCGAGGTTAAATATGCAGTTTGCAGCTAGTTGTTTGGTTGCAACTCACTGAGCAGCTTTATCTATCATTCTTCTTCTCTAAGCTTCATTATTTCATTATTCTTCTATACATACTGGATAATGTAGGGCTCTTACACATAATAGCTCTATATACATATTCACATTTCATCTGTCAGTCATGGCCACAAATGAAATTCTAACATTTTAAATGATCTAATGCCTCACCTGTGCTGGACACTCCAACTACGTTACTAGGCTCGCTGATCATGTCATCCATGATGGCCATGACGCGGAACTCATACCACGCCTCCTGAGACAAGAAAGAGATTATGTTATCAGAAATGTTCAGTAAGTCTGAACCTGTAAAATTCCACTGCCATCTCCAAAGACCACCAAGCTACAACAGTCCAAGGCTTTGGAAACTTTGGAAATAGAACTCAGATGAACAAAACTCCAATATACGAGCAAACTGTCATTATTTATTTAACAAAATCCACCTTTAGCAGGATACTTGAAGTAATTGCTTTCCATAAGGTTTCATCAGAGGAATTTTGACCTACTCTTCTTTAACGTTTCTTCACTCAGTTCATCCATCCATCCATTATCCATTATCTTCCACTTATCCAAAGCTGGCTCTTTTGCCACACAGGACCAGCAGCTCTACTCCGAGATCCCTCTGGATGTCGGAGCTGCTTTCCCAAATCTCACAGAACAAACTCAAACTTTTAGTCATTTACCCAGACTTCATGACCATTAAGTTATATAACCAATGTGAGAGCTGTGTCTGGATCCGTGTCACATTTTCATTGGGTGTTGGAATCTTTCAGGGTTCCCCCTCGTCTCCAATCCTGTTCTTGATTC